GGGAGGTGAATCTGTTTTGTGGGAATAACTAAAAATGTAATTGGTTAACCCACAAAAGAATTGAAAGATAAGTGACCAGACAAGAATTTCATTTGTGTTTCAGAAATCTCAGGGATGTTGGCGTGCATGTTATTGGGCCCTGAACAGTGTTGATTTTACACTGTTTTCAATGGGGCTTGAATTAATGGACTGTACCCATCAACCCTTCCTGTTTGGGCGCCGTGGGCGACGAGCGAATGAGCATCATATACCCAGCAAGAAATGAGACTGAGGGGTACCCCCCAACATGCCCAATCCCTATACACATTCCAGACTATTGTTACTTAACACATCCCCCCCAAGATTTCTGAAAGGAATTCCCCAGATTCCTGCGAGACAATGTCCAACACGAAGCAGGAGGGGTTCTCTCCGTCTCATACCTTGCTGCATATGGAGCATCAGTGAATCTGTCTGCTCCATCAACAACCCAGCTGAGAGTAGTATAACGAGTAAATAACATACCTGTTCGTTACCAGACGGACTACAGTCACAGGCATTGTCATCCATGTTACCAGCCGCAACGACCACAGTGGCACCTGTCACTTCGATCAAACCATTCAAGGCTTGACCCAGAAGGATATGATCACCGTTCATGTTGAGGGAGACAGCGACAACAGCGGGTGAAGAAGCATGATGCCCTACCCAATCGATACCTAAACGGGGCCAAAATAAATGCAAAGAAGGCCTATACAATTTGGAGCAGTTTTGCACCGCATTGTTGGTTTCAACACCGGTCGAATAACTTGAAGCTAACTTGAAGTTTGCATCAGCCTCAGAAACAATTAACAGACTGCGTTTCCCACGTATAATGTTGAAGAAATGACTTTGTTACTGCAGTGTACAGCTCGTTAAAGTCAATTAAAGACAGTAGGTAAGTTCTGTACGCTGAGTTTCCATAGTCAATAAACTGGAGGATCTGTATTAGTGAATATGGCAAATAGGGTGGGGCGGAGCAGGGGGAAGGACATACCAGCCACTACGTCAGCAACGGTTCCTTCAGTGTCGCAATTTGCGCCGATTACACGGACACTGCACACGCGAGCCTTGCTTGCTACACCATACGTGTTGCCTGCTACAATACCAGCTACATGAGTTCCGTGACCTGTGCAGTCAATGCCCTGAAAATAAGGGGAAAATAGAGGGGGGCCTTTTTAAACAGACAAAGTTGTACAGTACCAATACTTCCCTTTCTGTGAACTTCAACCTCATATCGATGGACTCCGATGGTTACACCAAATACGTGTACAAAGCACTCACCATTCGTTATGGAGAATTTTACTTATGAACTGAAAGATCTTATCAAATTTAAGTTGACATTTCCGTAAATTATAAGAAAATTGGGTTTATCATTTATAGTTGTTTCTTAACAAAACCTTTCCTGGAGATTCTCTGAATTACCGGCCAAACTCGAACACGACGTTTCGTTAACTGTATAGGCGTCTCGATAGCAACAACACTTTTCAAACAAATATTTAATTTGAAACTTTTCTCCCTTACGGTGCCATTCAGTGCATCGAAGCAGGTACTAGCTCGCTGACCGAACTCTTTGTGAGTTGGTAGGATGCCACTGTCTAAAATGTAAACCATCACATCATCTCCATCATCTGTACATACAAATCGAAGTTTTAAAGGCATAAAGTCGAACAGTTTGCATTTGAATATGAAGCCATTGTGAGCCAATAGCCATAGCATACGGTGCTTGTACATCTTTGGCCAAGAAAATGCCCAATCTTTTTCATTAAAATAAAGATTATAGCTCATAAATTTTGAAAAAATCACAAACAAATGTAAGTTGGAGGGCCAAACGTTTTGATTGTAGTATCTCAAAGACAAATCTGAGATTAAAATCACGACTAGAGGATTCTTATAATCTCTGTCTGGAACTTAAACTGTTCGTTATCACTTGCGTACCAGGTTGAACTCATAACATCCATTTTAGGACACTCCCAGTTCTCACAACGTACTTGCCGGGTTGTAGTGGCCATCTAACGGTAACTTGGCTTGGTCAATCCTGTCCAAATTCCATGGAGTAGTCGATGAGGTAGTAGATGGTGTCATTGGTACCCCACCCAGTGACATCACACGGACGATACCATTCTCTTCCACGTATTCAACTGCTTCGTGATTCATCACCTGTGGAAGCAAAAAAAAAAAGCTGCAGCTCAATACATGTTTTTGTCAAGTTTAATCCACATAATGGATCCCCTTTGCAATCTATCCCATCAACTACCCCTTAACTATGAACAGAGCCACCTTGCCAGTTAAATTGGAGTATAGACCCTACTTCATATTTTCGAAGTCTTACGAACTTGTTTGAACCTAGAACAGCACTTGAACATACAAAGTTGCTGAAGTTGTGCTTTTATTTCAGTCATATGCATTTTCAGCAATAAATAAAACCCTTGAACATAAACGCACAGATCAAAATCCTTGCTCACTGCCTGCAAGTTTCAGATGAAGTGTGCATCCACGTAACGCAAAGTGCGTGATGAACATTTGTAGCAGACATCTTTATTACTGTGGAGTTTCCATTCCAGTTTAAACTGCACCATAGCACTTACTTCTCTCACTCTTCGGTCTGAGACAGTTTGTTTTCGACTAGAGAAAATTGCACCATGAATGATTCTAGATATAAATCGCTATTGGCAGATCATAGTGTCAATAATCGTAGCAGATGCAGTATGGACGAGGAGCCTAAATCAGATACGACGCTATGCTGCTATTTAATTCTATCCTGCTGAGTCTAACAGCGGTTGCTTTTCTCATTGCATCATCACTTGTATGTCACGTCAGTACAAACCAGCGTCAGCAACCCTTTCAGCTAGAGATGTTTGGTCTTAAGTGATCCAAAAAGGGGACATCTTCAGCATTGTGTTCTGTGCAGAGTACTCTGTCAAAGCCACTCATCCCAAACTTGTGACCATTTCTATCGATTCTGGCGAGGATGAAGGGGTCGAATCCATCAATGCGCTTTGTCCAATAAGGCAAAATTGGCCAACGGCACGGTCAGGAGTTTTCGCAAAAGTGGGAGAATGGGGAAGTACGCTTTCAACAAGGAGTACTTTGTCTATCACGTTACAGACTCGGGTGAAACTAATGTTACTGCATGTAGGAACGATACAGACCTTATCATCTCAACTTGTGACACTGGAGAAGACGCAAACAGATTGGAGAAACATGGTGATGACTGAACCTGCGAATCTCAGTGCTTTATTTATACGTAGGGCTGTCAAAGACACAACTACAAATCATGTCCATTACCCTTTGAGAAAGAAAACCAGAATGACGTAATGCGTCGCGGTATAATTGTCATTTATTCCTTAGGCGAAGGCACTGGTGACGAACAAGTCCAGATTGATGTTGAAATACGAGGACCCCGTCTATGAAATGGACAGCGTGGTAGCGTCTGAGGACGGCACAAATCCATTTAGCTTGACTCTTCCCTAAGCAATTATTACTGGAGGTTCCACTCCAAGCCGTGCGGTCAACCCTATTCACCTAGAAGGCGCCTGTGTTCCACGATTTTTTTTTGGGGGGGGGGGATACCTGTGGCTACTACGTTGGTACTTGGCGCCACACCCTGCAAGACACGTCCCATCACCCTAAGAGTCCAACATACGATCCTCTTACTGAGGAGAGCAACATTCAACCACCCACTGGTCGTGGCCATTCTTGGGACCCACCTCCGCACGAGGAAAGACCAACAACTAACTGAATACTGTTTGACTATATACAATTTTATTTCCCAAAGCATGTCTCAAAATTGATCAATTACAAGAAGATGTGCGACAGTTAGGCCTACTTAAATAATCTAAAGTAAAGGTCAAACCCTATCAAGTCCTAAATGATGACGTCACTCGTTCAGGCGCGTTACTGACGTGATACAGGCACTCATTATAGAAATGGCATAAAATTTATATGAACTCCCGTAAAAATTTATTGTATACAAGTTATAGTCACGGTTAACTCACAATCGGGAGCATTGGCGTCACCAAAAGGTGATTGGAAATGTGTTAGGAATCGAGATGCCCGTCAATGAAAAATCCTCAGTAACATTGGACTCAGATCAGTCTTTCAGAATTTGGGAAGCGGAGGATGCAATTTCTACTAATGTGACTGAATTTGAACCACAAACTCAAAAGCGCAACTTTATATCATTGTATAGGAAAGGTAAAATGTTTAATATATAGTTATAATTCAGTTGAAAGCAACGCAAGGCGAGGGTGACTTGCAAGACCTACTTTGTAAATTGTAGGTCTCACATTGAGAATTTGAAATTTACTTCTAATAAAAAAGGTTGCCATCACACCGTCTAGAAATGTAAGATGTCTAAAGATCACAGGTTAAACACTTTATCCACTTTTGCCACTTATTCTTTCGCCAGTGTAAAAACGCTCTTGTTTTCAGAATCTCACAGGAAAGTGTTTTTACAGTTACAACCTTTGGTTCAAAGCAGTAATATTGTTGATGAGGTAGAAATTATAAATGGTGCGTAAACGAAATATCGGTGAGTATTAAAAAGACTGCAAAGTCTGCCAATGAATAATGTAGATTCTACTTTGGTGCATATAGTAATAAAATCTCATGTTGTGTGAAAAGTCACCGTATTCCCGCAAGTTATTTGCTTTACTGTAAAATATTATACTTTCCTGCAGGCACACCACGTTAATTTTCGTTTCCCCCAAGTGCTCGACCTAGGTCCCGGGATCAAAATACAAGTGGTGATGTGCGTGCTGATTTGGAGCACCTGTGACCACACGTCATGCTATAAAAGTCTGGCAATATAAACACGTGATTGCTTTGGGTCACGTGAAATTATGATGAAGAGATAAAATTATCTGGGGTGTAAGGGCGGCAGGCTTGATGTCAAGAGATTTGAAGCATCGTAGACCTTAGGTAGGGTTTACAGAAATCATGTCTGCCTCGTTAAGTCGGTCGCTTTTGGATGACCGTGACTATGAGCGGGATCGTAAAGATGGAGCCTTGGATAGACCCGTTGCTAGGATCACTGCTGTCGTGCTGTTAGTCGTTATCGTAGTGGCCTTTACGACTGCAGGATTAGTGACTCGCTTTGAAGTGTACAACAAGAAAACCTCGGTCACACTCGGAGCCGGTGATGTTTGGTCGGTGTCCATCCAGAAAAGCAGCGTATTCAGTGGAGTGTTCTGTGCCGGGTACAATGTTCAAGCAACCAAGCCAGAGGTGCTGACTAGCCAGGCAAGCGGTGGATCCGAACCCGTGGGAATCTTCAGCGTCATCGCGTTGTCGGCCAAGGCAAGCATGGCAAAAGGTCTGGTCCGACGAAACATACATGACCGCGGGCTCTTAGGGACATATGCCCTCAATAGGTACTTTATCTACCACTTACCCCAATCAGGAAACATATCAGTGACAGCGTGTAGCAACCAGACCGACGTCGCTGTTGCAGTATGTGAGAATGAGGATGGTGCCAGAAAATTCATTAAAAACGGTCCGAACAGTGGAGCTTGTGACAGTAAAACATGCAGTTTCAAGAAGTGCGGAGAAATACAGACCGAGTGTCACATTTTTGCCAAGCAAACAGGGAACAGTGAGAAAATGCAGCCAATTATAAGTGTCGTTTATCGTACCTCTGGGCATGACACTGGTGGCGAATCGGTTCAGGTAAACTTTGACATTATAAATTCTGTTTACGAGCTCGACACCAAGGACGCTTCATGCGATAATGCCAGTAACTCTTGTATCTTAACTGTTCCCATCACCGCCGCTGACGTTATACTCCAAGTACCAGTTAACACCAACATGAATCCCACACACCTTGAGGGCTTCTGCAGTGCACGAGTGCCGATATATATGTGCATTTTTGTGGGACTTCCACTGGCACTTATACTAGTCACATGCGGCTGTGCACTTTGCTTGACAAAGGCACAAGCCAGCGTCATCAAAGTCACGAATCATGCTGATCGTACGCGCGAGTACAGATCACTTGGAAGCCGTCAAGACGATCTTGAACGCTCAGGCTTTCTCAGTCCAAAAAGCCAGCAACCACCGCCCCCTAGCTATCAGCTCTGCCCTGAGGATACTCACATTCAGGCTTCCAGAGCAGAGCACAGCGTGGTTATGTAAAACAAAGACCTTCAGGAAGGGACAGTAAGACTGCAGGGCATAAACCACAATAGTCAGTGACAACATCAACATGATAAATGAATATAGCTGGTTAATTGTTGTGTTTCTTAGATATAAATTAAATTAAGACGGAAAGCTTGCGGTAGCACCGTGCAAGGATACGATCTCGTTGTGAGTTTGTATGGTTCTGAAAAGAACCGTGAACCATATAGACTCACACAGAGATAGTATCCTTGCCTGGTGCTACCGCAAGCTTTCCACCTTAGTTGTCTGTCACCATGAATAGCTTGAAATCACATAAATTCAATCGTTATTTTTTTGAGCTAGTTTAACACAACATGTAGAACATAAGATAGAGTCAACGTTTCGATCCGGAGATCTTCATCAGGACTGACTAGAATAGTAGATGGCCAGGCATAAATACCGAAACACTCAAGAATGGAAATAAACAAAAGCCGTGTGGTAGGCAATTGAAATAACTGTAGGTAAACTATGTCCACGCAGGTGTTACTGCCAAATGGGGTGTATGTGGACACCAGAGTCAATGTTTATGTTCGCAGTCTGTTGAATAAACAAAGCTTCCTTGGTTCTTCTGGTGCCGGTGAATTGTTCTTTGTCTTAAGATTCTGGCATCCTCCCACTTGACTGTATGTTGGCTGTTGACTACGTGGAGAGCAATGGCATTGTTCCTTGTTCTCTATCAACATGATAGTTGACATGTAGTGTAATGTTGAATAGGAACTCCCAACATGTGTGCATGTGGGCCCATTTCATTCCTCATGCTTAATTTATAATTAAAACACTGCAGCAAGGGAAGTGTCATGACAGAAACAATACCGTTTGTTTGAAATCTCAATTAACTTTATTAGTTATTTGCTCATACAAGACAAAATCTAGTGTATAAGGTCATTATGTTTCGTTGCAATATGAAACATTTTATGCAGGATCACTTTACGGATTATAGAATAAATCGAACTAGAACAGAATTTTTGAACTCTTCACCGATAGGTATCACAAACATTGCAAAT